GCGTTTGGCATGTGAAATGCTTCTCCTGTGTTTCCTCACTTCTTGTTTTAGTGGCCCGAGGTGAAGGCAGTGGTTGGCCTCGAGGGAACCTGCTGCCAGCAGCAAAGTCTTTTCTAAGCTTTCCCATGACATCCCATGGGATGATCCTACACAAAAGGAATACCAAGACCGCTCTGGAGCCTTAAAAAAATTGTTTCCACACGGGAACAGGAGGGCACTTTCTCATTAACTTTGTTCTCTGTGATGAATTAGTCTGTAGAATCATAGGTTTGGAAGAGACCCCAGGAGATCAAGTCCAACCTCCTGCCCAAAGCAGGACCAGACCCAACAAAATCATCCCAACTGAGGTTTTGTCAAGCCGGGACTTAAAAACCTCTAGGGATGGATATTCCACCTCCTTCCTAAGCAACCCATTCTAGTGTGTAACCACCCTCCTAGTAAAGTAGTTTTTCCTAATATCCAACCTAGATCTCTCTCACTGCAAGGTCACAGAATCATAGAACCATAGAGCTGGAAGAGACCTCAGAAGATCATCAAGTCCAGCCCCCTGATCTAGGCAGGACCAATCCCAACTAAATCAATGGTAAGACCATTGCTCCTTGTTCTGTCATTTGTCACCACTGAGAACAGCCTCTCTCCATCCTCTTTGGAACCCTCCCTTCAGGTAGTTGAAGGCTGCTATCAAATCCCCCCTCATTCTTCTGTAGGCTAAATAAGCCCAAATCCCTCATTCTCTCCTAGTAAGTCATGTGCTCCATCTCTCTAATTATTTTGTTGCCCTCTGAAGGATCTTCTCCAGTAAGTCCATATCCTTTCTGTAATGGGGGTCCCAGAATTGGTTGTAAAACTCCAGGGCTGTGTCTAGACTGGCAAGTTTTTCCACAAAAGCTGCTTTTGCGGAAAAACTTGCCAGCTGTCTACACTGGCCGCTTGAATTTCTGCAAGAACACTGACTTCCTACTGTCTGAAATCAGTGCTTCTTGCGGAAATACTATGCTGCTCCCATTTGGGCAAAAGGGCCAGTGTAGACAGCTCAGATTTGTTTTGCTCAAAAAAGCCCCAATCGTGAAAATGGCGATCAGGGCTTTTTTGCGGAAAAGTGCGTCTAGATTGGCACGGACGCTTTTCCACAAAAAGTGCTTTTGCGGAAAAGCGTCCGTGCCAATCTAGACGCTCCTTTCCGCAAATGCTTTTAACGGAAAACTTTTCCGTTAAAAGCATTTGTGGAAAATCATGCCAGTCTAGATGTAGCCCACTTTGCGAAATCAAGGGGAATGATCACTTCTCTAGATCTGCTGGCAATGCTCCTCCTAATGCACCCTAATACACTGTTAGCATTCTTGGCTACAAGGGCACACTGTTGACTCATATCCAGCTTCTCATCCACTGTAATACCCAGGTCTTTTTCAGAAGACTGAAAGGTTTTAATAATGTCAGTGAAATCATCCTCCCTTTCCCCCCCCCCCCTTGGGATGAAAGGAAGTTTTGCAAAATGAGCCTGAAAATAACTTGTAATTATGATGTTAACATGTAAATGCTAACCTAGTTTTTAGACTTCTCTTACTAGATAAAGACATTCAAAGAATTAAGATGGACTAAATTAGTATAAATGTACTATTATTATCCAGGAAAATACCAGTGACTTTACCACATTGTAATTCACAATGTGATGACTGTAACAGCAATATATATACATGAAATCTAATCTAATTAAAGAAGCTGATATCAGAAAGGAATAAAAAGAAAGTGTGTATGTCTGCTTGTTTGTAAAAAGGGTGCAGGATATCATGGCAGAGACTTCAGCGGCTCCCTCGTCTGTAATAAGGAAAAAGAAAAGTTTATCCATTGAGGAAAAAATTGATATAATAAGTGCTGTGGAAAGTGGCAAGAAAAAGGCAGACATTGCAGCAAAATATGGCATAAAGAAAAATTCATTGTTTTCAATTATGAAGAATAAAGATAAGGTTCTAGAAGCCTCTGAGTTCTTCCGATTTGATCCTAAAAGAAAAAGATTAAGAACAGCTTTTTATGCAGATCTGGAAGAGGCATTAATAAAGTGGTACAGAATTGCTCAGTGCATGAATGTACCAGTAAATGGTCCAATGTTGCGCTTTAAAGCTAATGATTTTGCTCAGAAACTTGGACATAGTGATTTTCAGTGCAGTAACGGCTGGCTTGATCGTTTTAAATCAAGATATGGTTTAATATTCCGATCTCAACCTGTAGAAGCTGTGGCTACTACAATAGATACTTTACCTGTTTGGTACCAAAATGTTCTTCCTTGTTATTTAAATGATTATCAGCCAAAAAATGTGTTTAATGTAAAGGAAACTGGATTGTTTTATAGGATGTTACCTACTAATACTTTTTCATTTAAAGGCGAAACTTGTTCTGTTGGCAAATTAAGCAAAGAGAGAATAACTGTGGTGGTTAGTGCAAATATGGATGGATCTGAGAAACTTCCTTTGCTAGTTATTGGAAAAAATAAAAATCCGCACTGCTTTAAAGATGTAAAGTCACTAGCTGTGAATTATGCGGGAAACAATATGGCATGGATGACCTCAGAAGTGTTTGATCAATGGATGCATAAACTTGATGAGAAGTTTCAAGCACAGCAGCGGCAAGTAGTAATTTTTATTGATTCTTCTCTAGCTCACCCAGTGGTAAAGAATCTCAAGTCTATTGAACTGGTATTCTTTCCTCCATCCTCATCATCCAAATTTATAGCTATGAAACAAGGAGTTATAAGGAGTCTGAAAGTCAAATACAGACATCGTCTTCTCAAGAGATTTGTAGACTGTATAGAAGGTAGTAAAGCGTTTACGTTAACTCTGCTTGATGCAGCTGATATGTTGCACCTAAGCTGGAGGAATGTAACTCCAGAGACTATAATTAAAAGTTACAACAAAGCAGGATTCATATCACAGACAGGAGAAAATGGTGACTCAGACATAGAGATTGAAAGTGGTTTAGACATGATTGCATATGCATTGGCTGCCAGGGTAGAGTTTCCAGGAGGTTTATCTTTGGAGGAATATGCAGTTTTGGAAGATGACTTGGTAATATGTGAAATCCCCACAAATAATGACAAGATATGGACCAGAGAAAGCACTTCAATTAAAACTGATGTATTTGTTTATGATGAAGAAGAAGGTGAAGGTGATGGATCTCCAGGAACTGAACAGCCATTGCCATCAAAAAATGAGGCTCTGACTGCTTTAGATACTCTTCGAAGGTTTCTCAGGAGTCAAGACATGAATGATTCTCTTCATGATTCCCTAGCAGATCTAGATAATTTTATCCAGAATGTAGCATCTAAATGAGGTTTTAGCGAAGTGGTATGAAAGCATTTAAATGGAAGGTACAAGTAAAGTAAAAATGGGTTGTAGATCAGAGTTCAGAATGGAGGGCCATTTAACTCCCATTTCAACCCTGTGATACCTGAAACTTGGATTTGATGTAAACCCTTCTATACTACTTTTATATTTGTCTGTGGTAAACACAACAAATTAGAGTATCTGCATATGAAATCTCACAAAACTCTAGTAAATACTGTACTTAATAACAGTATCTGTTTAAACCCAATAAAGTATTTAAACTTGTTTTTCTGAAATGCGTATCAATACTAGGATTATATGCACCAGTGCAAACTCACATTGTACATGTGGTTTGAATCGGTGCACCGTACAATGTGGTAAGTTCCATTGCACTCATGTATGCTGTGCCTTGAGTAGAGGTTTGCATGAAGGTAACTGCTAAAATGGCCAAAATGCCAATATAGGTGAGGTCTTGTATTGGTAAAACTTATAAAATAAAAATGTTCGTTTTAAGCATATTGTACATATACTTTGATAAAGAAATATTAGCTTTTTTAAAATCAAAGTTTTTCTGATTTTTGAGAACACTTTGATAAGAGCATTTTAGTACACCTCAGTTAAATAGAATCTATTGTTAGAGGTAGTGGAAACCTTACTCCATGCTTTTTTTGTTTTTTAATTCTTGGCTATTTAAATGTTCAGTTTGGAATTTAATAGTTTAAAATAAAAATATTTTCCATTTACAGGTTGCTGTATCCTATTGTAAATTCCGTATTTTCTGGAAGGATGTATCAAAATTGTATCTTATGAAAAGGAATATCATAGTTTATATGACAAAATTTCTGTGGCTAAATTGCATGACTCTTTAATGAGAATTAACTCTGTGTCTGCACAATATTCTACTTTCTGATTTCTTGTTATAAAATGGGTAATATGAGTTCTACCAAAAAAAAAAGGGGGGCTCCCTTTCTGAATGCCAAATACAGTCAACATCTTATCCAGAGATTTATAGATTATGTAGAGAATGACTCCCACTCTATCACCCTCTTAGAAAATGCTGTGGGAAAAAAATATTTTTTTGTGGCTTGTAAATGGGGAGGCTAGGTTCTGTCACTTACTATGTGGTTAGATCAACTTACAGAAAACATTATTCAAGCTAAGTTAATTTAAAACTACAGAAAATGAAATGTTAAATATAATATCTGTAAGTAACTTTAATATAATTTGAACTTCTCAAATACTTTGATATATATTTACTTTAGCAGGACTCCAAAGGTTCTGTGGAATAGCTGGAATTTTGGAAACATTTAGAAGCTCAGGAGAAACTGAAATAAGCAGCTCAGTGAACAACTAAACAGGTAAAGTTAATGGACAACAGTAGGCACTATAATACTTTTTTACTGAAAAATTTTATGCAGAAGAGTACCATAGTACAGGGGTTTTCAGACTCTGGTTTGCAGCTTATAAGGGCAAGCCACTAGCTGGCTGGGAAACACCGTTTATCCGCACCTCCACAGGTACAGGCGACTGCAGCTCTCTTGGCTGCAGATTGCCATTCCCAACCAATGGGAGCTGTGGGAAGTGAAAGTGAATTGTAAAAATTTCACTTAAAAGGCCTCTGAATTTTCCTTATGTCTTAGATGATGCACTTTAGAACCTTTTTTCATGTTGAGGCCAGCTAGAATAATCTTGCATTGGAATATTTTTGCAGTTAACCATATTATATGCTAGTAACATTTTCAAAAGTACGTAAGTCCCATTTTTTAAAAAATGATTTCTTAGGTCACTTTGGAAAACAAGACTTGAACTTTTAAATCAGTTAAGTGCTTTTGAAAAATGTATCCTTGCTTTCAGAACATTAGCCAGCTCAAAAGTGAGAATGCTGCTGCTTTCTAGCAACAGACTAGTAGCAGAACTTGCCAGCTAGAACAAATTTACTGTACTTTCATTTGTTAACTTTTTACAGTTCTGTCATCTAGCAAAATCTGCACTGTTCACCAGGTTATGTAAACTTTAAAATCTTACTATATTATAGAAATGTACATCTGTCTGTCTGTCCATCTGTGAGTCAGTTTGTTCAAGAACTCCTCCAACATTGTAAGAACTAGGGCTACCAAATTTGATATGCAGCTTCATCTTTTTATAACTTAAAGTAAGGTCAGAGTTTTGTTGTTCCAGGATAATGGGATGTGGATGGAATGCGATTATTTCATATTAAATGGAAAGGGACAGGTGTAATAGCAAGGTCAGCATACCCAGGTATGACCACAGGGAAGCATCAATCACAGTGGACAATTATACTCACCAATGACCACAAGGGTGTAGCAATCTCCTCAGTGAGCAGCTGCTAGCCAGCAGCATGGCCCCCAGTTCCTCAGCCAGCCCCGGGGAACAACTGCCGGCCACCACACAGTCCCCAAGTTGCCCCAAAGAGAAGCCAGCATGCAGAGTGTTTCTCCTGCCCCAGACTGGCCCGAGACCCAGGCAACACTGGGTAAGTCTTCAAGTTACAAATATTTGTTTTCAAATAATTTGACATTCTGTATTGACACTTAAAAAAGGTTCAGCTACTGTTTCAGATTCAGCTATTTCAGAGAGAAAATATTCTTCAAATCTTGAGTGGTAATGGTGAAAAAGGAATTTGAATATGCAAATATATATTTTTATCTGTAGTCCACATATACTCATTTATGGACATTGTTAAAATTTCTTAATATAAATTTGCCAAGCATTTAAAGATTCTTCATTTTTTAAAAAGGGGAAATGATGAAAGGAATTGTGGCTTCAAACTGGAAAATATTTGAAAATATGAACTTTCTATAAAAGGTAGTTTGCTTAACTGGTTAATCTCTCTGTCCTTTTGGCTAATTATATATATATACACACACACACACACATACACACACACACATTTCTCCATAGTCATCCTCCTATTTTAACTTTCAGTGAGCTGATCATTTTGTACTGATCATGTTGTACTATTTTTTTATTCAAATCAGGTCTGCCACAGTCAGTACTACATCCTCACTGGTAGGTCAGGAGAAATCTTAAAACATAATTTCAATAACTTGCAAGCAAGGCCAGAAAAATAAAAAGTTAAGGTATGTTTGATATACTTGAAAACCATCTCTAGTACAACTCAATGTTTAAATTATGTGTTTCAAGTTAAATTTATTTTCTAAGATAACATTTTCTAATGAAGGTATTAGTAAAAACAACCCATTGGGGAATTTTATTCTTGTGGCACAATTTTGCAAGGTTCTGATCATGCACAATTCTTTTTGGAGTTACAGGTTTATGAGGATACTCATCACCTTAGAGGAGGCTATCAATCTGGACTCTAGTGCTTATGGGAAATTACTTTGAGAAATTTACTGTGCATTCAGAGATGAACAAGACGGGGCAGCAGCTTGTTTGAGAAATGTAGTCATATGTTCCCATATGCCAGAGAGATGCAATATTTTGACAAGTAGGTAAGCAGAAATTAATAGAAAAGTAATACTGGTTTTTATTATATATTATTATTAATATAGATCACAAGAGCCGCATTTTCAAAGGGGCTAAATTTTATCCACTATGTTTTTAATTTAAAAACACAGGCAATCCCCGAGTTACGCGGATCCGACTTATGTCGGATCTGCAGTTACAAACGGGGATTTCTCGCCCCGGAGAACTGGAGCAGCGGGACGCCTGGTCCCGCCGCCCGCCTTCTCCAGGGCAAGAAAAGCTGCTCCCCGTCTCCCTGGTCTGCTGGCGGAGCCAGCAGACCAGGGGGACGGGAGCAAAGCGGCGGAGCACCGGCGGCCGGACCCGCGGCCGCTTCCAGATCAGCTGGAAGCGGCGCGAGTCCTGCCGGGTGCTCCGCCACTTTGTTCCGCATCTCCCTGGTCTGCAGAAGCATCTCCCCGCTCTGAACATTTATCAGGCTGCGCAATATCAGAGGAACCAACAGCCCATCAACATCATCTGTGGTTTCTAGTTGTCTATGGTATGACATTATTGGATTCTGATATGAACATGCAAAACATTGTGGCAACCACTGTTATATGTTTGCACCAAATATTGCAAACTTATGATTCTCTGATTCTGTTTATGCTATTCATATGCATATATCATTTTTTATTTGAAGTTATGAGTATTGGTTGCTTCTGGGAGGTATCAGTAGGAGGCTTGGCCAACCTACTGTAAAAGGGTTGCTAGTCAAGTAGATTGGAGTACTTGACTGGCAATGGACTTTTAAGTGGAGTCAATCCAAATATCTCTCTCGCGAGATCAGCTGGCCCTGATTAATTTACAGCAGCCCTATCTCCTTTGCTCCTGATTGACCAGGGCTATTGCTACCTTAGCGTTTAGTCAGAAATAAAGTCTACACTAGTGAACCACAAGCCTTTCCTCCAGACTGACAGGCCTTGCCTTCTGTTCTCTCTTAAATGTGCAAGATCTGATCAACCAATGTAGCAAAGGGCTCCTAACATAACTTAAATGTTGGTAACCTAAATAGGATGACAGTCCATTGTTTCTCATGTGTATTTCAAGTCTCTCTTGGCTTTTAATCTGTTTGCCCTTGAATAGTTAATATTTAATTCCTGTTGCTCTGATTTCTCTTTGTTGTTTTTGGCTCTTTATGCCTCTTTCTTTCTGGAAATCTTTTCATTGTCATGTAGCTTTCAGAAATTCCATATTTTATTGTACATAATTTCATTCAAGATTTAAAATTCAAGGGAGAGATAGTCTAGACACTCCTTATTTGTGAAGTGTAAGTATGCCAGTTTTTTCCACAGTATTTGATGAAAGAGACATGAGCAAATGAATTAGCCATGTTTTTTCACAGTGATTCCTCGTTAATCAAGATTAGCAATTCATGAATTCAGGATAAGCCCTGTTTTTGTTCAAGCTGATCTTTCACCTTACTGTTTAGAAGTTGAATTAAAGGAAAATTACATGTGTTGACATTTGTAACAGTATATAAGCTGATTAGTTTGTAGAGTACTGACTAGTTTAAGGAAGTCCTAGTAAAAAACTATGAATTATAATAGGATATGCACATAAACCTATAGTGATGTCTTATATCATGGAACCAAATGAACATATTTTAAAAAAATTCAGTGTGGTGGCTCTGTGTCCAGGGGCAGTGGGGGTGGGTCCAGGAGCAGTGGGTGTGCGGTGGTGCCGTGTCCAGGAGCAGTGGGTGTGCGGTGGCTCTGTGCATAGGAGAAGGGGTCGTGGGGGAACAGTGGCTGGGAGGGGGGGGGGGGGCCGGGTTTTTG